TCTAAAGCTTGGGATGCTTCTGTCTTCCTTGGAATTACTTCCGTAATATTGAAAGAACTGTAAAATGGAGATATAAAGTGGATGATAACATTATCCACCTCTAATTCATTGGGATACTGAAATGCTTATTTAAGATTTACAAAGATTAAGAATAAGAGAATAGTAAAACCATGTTTTTTTTTTTAAGTTAATTTAACAATTACTGAATTTCTACTATGTACAGGTCACTGGGATAAAAGAAGTAAGATTAATAAGACATAGGTCTTGTCTATGAAGGAGCTTAAAACCTAGTAATTGTCTCAGAGCACCTAACATTTAAGAGAGTGAACGAAGACGTGCTGAGTGTGGCCAGCCGGTGGAACAGGACAGATTTGAAGTTGTAGATGAAATCCTGGTGTCATAGTAGCTGTGTGCTGGGCACATGTCACTTAGCTCTCCAAAGCTGTTTATTTTATTCAGGTGTTGGTTGCTGGTATTGTTTTCAGAATCTTAAAAATGGCAGTAATTATGCCTAATTCATTATACTTGAGAATTAAAATAAAGAATGCAAAAGATTCACTTACTGTATCCTTAGCAGAGAGTAAATGTTCAGCAAACAACTACTGGGAAATGGGAACTATTGACAACTTGCTTGCATGGCCCACTCACGGGTGGACAGACACACCGCCTCCACGAGGCAGGGACAGGGGCCCCTCTGTGCTGTGCCAGGGCCTTGGAGAAGAAAAGTGAGCTGCAGCCCAGATACTCTTTGGAATGTTGAGCTGAAAAACAAAGAGCAACTGTCCCTCTGGGATGCCGGCCTTCTTGAGTGGACCAGGGCAAATCACTGACACCATCGGAATCTCACCCTCTTCCCCGCTGTAAATTAAGTAGGATGAATTATACCCATAATTCTCAAATCTGAATGGCTGTCATATTCTCATTGAGTATTTCCTATTAGGAGGCCCACCCTAGGAACACCAAGGTCTTTTTGAAAGCACTTGAAGTGATTTTAAGGTACACAGGGTAGAAAAGCAGTGGAGTTGGTGATCTCTCAGATTCTGTAGGATAAATGCCAGTGTAGTCTGGCTGGACCAGTGGGTACCTGGTTATGTTTGGAATGTTGCTCAGAACCACATTTTGGAAGGTTTTAAACAGTCTGTATGCAGCAGGACCTCAATGAAGATTTTTATATAAAGGAATGTGTTGAAGGCAGTGCTGTAGAAAAAATGAGTCTGTCAGCTGTCTGCATGTAGTAGAAGGAGAAGAAAGAGGGAACTAGAAACAGGTCGGGAACGAAGGTGTGAGCAAGCAAAACTAAGTAAGGCACAGTCTAGTTGAGAGAATTGCAGGAGTATTGCTGCCATGTTTTAATTAGTATGAGATAGTAGAGAAACATGAGCTATAATGTGGATAGGAAAAGGGATGCCTCTGAAACCAGAATCAGATGGAAATGAAGTTCAGTTCTCATGTGGTAATTATGGTGCTATATGACCAGAGAATGTCCTGTGGAGATGAGTTATCTGCTCTAATTTTCTATGTCAAAACCACACCTATTTCATAAGCTCCCACCAAAGGCTGAACAAAAGAGACACTACAGAGGAACCGTCTCTCCCCATTATTTCTCTCCCTTTCAGAAACAAAAACAGCAAAATTACTGCTTATGAGTTTCTCAGGGTTTTGTTAAAAAAAATTTAAGTATGTGTTAAAAGTGGCATGTGCCTGACACCTCTTGGTGTCTAATGATTCTTGAAGGCTCCCATGGAAAAGCAGAATCACCCAGGAATGCAGAGACAAGAGGAAAAGTCTTATCTTTGCATCTTGCAATCCTCCTGTACTAACCCAAATTACATGGTGAGCTATTTTTCTGAAAATGTGTCCATCCTTCAAGAGATTAATAGAGATAGAGTTTTTCATAAAGAATTAAGTTTCCTGTGAGGAACTTTGTTGCTAACTTTTCCACTGTGTCCTATAAATGTTAATGGACAGCCTCAAGTGTTTAGATTCCTAGGCTGCATTAAGTGGTAATTAATCTCACCAAGTTCATATATAAAAGGTTTAAGCTGCTGTTCTAACTGATGTGAGCCATGACAAATGAAAATCACTGAATTTTTATTATCAAATTGTTGTAGGTTTTTTTCCTGCTGATTCTGAAGACTATCCTAGCCCAATTATATCCCACGGGGCTTAATCTTCAGCCTTAATTTCCTAAGTCTGAATCTTCTTCTGGATTTTGGGAGGATTTCCAAATTAATGAATTTTTTGAGGGGCACTTAGGGGGTGCCGTTGGGTAAGCATCCAACCCTTGGTTTTGGCTCAGGTTGTGGTCTCTGGGTCATGAGGTTGAGCCCCCCCATATCAGGAGACTCTCTTGCCCCCTGCTTCAATCCCTCCCCTCTAAAATAAATAAATAAATCTTTTTAAAAATTTATGAAATCCTTGAAGGAAGAGTTCTGCTAACCGTGAAGTCAATAGTCAAATGACCAGGATTAAAAAAGAAGCTTGCATTTACATGTGCCTATGGAAGAAGTGCTTCAGGATATATTTTAGATTAGAAACCCAGGAGTAGGGGCGCCTGGGTGGCTCAGTGGGTTAAGCCGCTGCCTTCGGCTCAGGTCATGATCCCGGGTCCTGGGTTCAAGCCCCGCATCGGGCTTTCTGCTCAGCGGGGAGCCTGCTTCCTCCTCTCTCTCTGCCTGCCTCTCTGCCTACTTGTGATTTCTCTCTGACAAATAAATAAATAAAATCTTTAA